GTCATTAGCCGTTGGGCAAATAATTTACTTTACCACATTTACTTCGATAACTAACCATTGTGTTGTTGTTGCATCCACTACCACTGCTGCTGTCGATGCCGATGCCGAGCCGATGCAGTTGTTGTTCTTGTTGGTCCAGGCGTCTGTCCGCCATTGTGACCACACTCACACTCACCCAAAACCGAGAGACCCACACACACAGTAGAACTCACACAATATCACACACAGATATCTATTGATAGCCAGGCGGGGGGCGACGGTTGGTTGTGTTCCACTTATTGATTTCAATTAACATGCAACAGCATGTCTTCCCGCTGCAACATGCAACATGGAACCCCCCTTTGTGCTGCTGCTGCTTTTCAATCTTTTCATAGGCTAATGTTACACTTGTGCGTCGTTAGAGCTTGCCCTTTGCCACGCCCCCACCCCCTTTGTGTGCCACACTGGCTATTGTCGACTGGCAGATACTTGCAACTAGCAGATGGCAGCTGGCAGCTTTCCGCTCCAAGCCGAGTCCTCAATAATTATCAATTTTGTTGCCCGGCCTTTGTTTATTTACTTGTTTTTTGGTTTAAGGCATTTTGCTGCTATTTGCTTGGCAAACAGTGCGTATGCGTGTTGTGTTTTGCGGTCAGCCGTATATGGCTACAGTGTCTAGTAAATTGTGGCCAAGAGGCCCTTGGCCATCTGCCAGATGAAAAATCCGGGCTTTACTCAACTGATTAAAATATATGCGAGCGGAGGCAAAATGTTTTCCAATATATGATGAAAATGCTTGCCAGGTTTGCAAGTGATAGGCGAAGAGATAAAAATGCTTTATAGTTTATTCGCAAAAACATTTAATTTATTTCGCCTTTACATAGTTGTTAACTTAAAACTTAAACTGTATATACATTGAAGTTATTCAAAAAGGAAAGAGGGAGTAACTGGGGTAATGCTTATGCCTTGCGGGTGCGGTTTCTTGAGTATTTCGTTAAATAAGTTAAATTTGACTTTTGCGGCCATTGTGGTAACCATTGAATTCCGCGAAATTCTCTCCACCTCGTCAAAGGTTTCTTAGAAACTCGTCGAGCCATAAAGCCAACTGGCATATTCCATAACTTCGATTCGATCCAGGACAAATGTAATTGACTCCACGGCTCGGCGATTCCACTTAAAGAGGCTGCGGTCCACTTTCGACTATTTTCCATCGGGTTATTATTGGGGGGGGTTATTCTGTGCTCAGTCTTTAAAGTCAACTGTTCGATTCTTATGTATTCTGTGTGCATACTGTATGCTTTATGCCTAGTGTGTGTGTCTTCGTGTGTGGCAAGCATTTTAAGCCCACTGTTATTGTGGTTTCCTTCTGATCCTTCTCCATCCTTTGGCTCCTTGGGCCACCTCCGCTCTTGCCATCTTGCATTGACTTTCGGCCCTCAAACTGCCATGACTTAAATTTTGTATTTCAGTGTGTTTCCTGTGTACGTGGGTGTTGTGTGTTTGTTGTGTGTGTATTTATATGTATTTTTAATAGCCCAATTTTTTCAAAGCCTTCAGGTCTACATCGCCATAGTAATCCTCGCTGTAAAAGGGAGAAACGGGAAGTATTAAATAAATAAAAATTCCTTGTTAAATAGCATTCAAAGGGAAATTTCGTTTTTAGGGGTTTCCTTGGCCTGGCTCTGATTTGTTTAATTAAATTGTTTTGTCTTCTGGCAGTCATGCTCTGTGGAATTTATGCCATGCATGTGCTATATATGTAAGTATTTTTTGGGATGTGAGTATGAGAACTTGGCTGACAAGTCGACAGAATTTGATTAGGCACCGCAAAAGGATCTTATCTTTCTGCGACTAACTTCTGTTTCATTTCTCCCTTAGGACTGGTTTTTTGTTGCGTCCCGACTGCCGGTTTGTGTTGTAAATTGACAAAGGAAATATTTATTAAAACCGTAATTAAAAATAATATTGTTAAAATCCTGTTTGCGAACACTGTGGACACGAGGCGCTGGCCCCCGCACACAAGGATTTGTGGCCTGGCCAGATAAAATGGAATAGCGCAAACAGGCGCCGGGCGGCGGAAGGAGGCGGAGGAGTGTAAAGCAACAGGACGTCAAGGATTAAAAGACGCTAGCTGGTTTGGCTGCTGCCTTCTGGCCGCAATAACAACATTATCAGCGAACAACAAATTGCCTTTAAAGCGCAGGCAACAAGGACAAGTGCGATGGCGATGATCAGGAGCACGCCTCTCGCTGGCAGGACATGCATGTCCTGTAACTATAACACACTCGAAGAAAATAAACTATACACTACCATAAAGTGACCAGCTTTTTAACTAAAAAATATAACATTTCTTGTATCAGTGGATAGGCTATTTTATATTCCAAAAGTCACTGAAATCGGTATCATTTGCCCCTCATTTTTCTCAGTGCTTGTTAACTTGGCTTCATATAAAATGGACGCTGTGTGTGCGGATCTGGGCAGCGAATGACAAAAAGCGCAAGGCTATTAAATTAAATTAAATGGAATTGACCAAAAACCAAGGACAGTACTGGGTTCTTGTTGAGCTTATTGTTGCGGCTTATTCGCCGTCCTGATGAAGGAGCGATTCGTGATTCTAAGGGCAGTGGCTGCCGTGCGGGGGTAAGCTGCAAAATATGGCTCTTGTTTAGTGGACCAAAATTGTTTTCCTTTATTTACTTTTCTCTTTTTTTAGCAGCTCTTGACTAGAGCTTCCTGCCCTTCGCTCCTTATATAATATATATTGACAAGCAGTGGCCAGCTCATAACTTTTGCCTCAGAAAGCTAACCTGCTATCTAGTTTTATGTTCTTCCTGTGCGTTTATATCATCATTAAAATTAATTAGAGTCAAATGTTAAAAGGATTTCATTGCCAGGACAGTCCTGGGCGAAGGATGGAGGCAGTGGGATGGGGATATTATCCATCAAGAGTTACTTTCCTTTAGTCTAACCGGAGTCGGTTTGGTTGCCAGAGAAATGTCATTTCTCCCGGCAAGTGACAGTATCCAAGTTACTTTAAATGCACGGGAAATAAGCTTCTGATAAAAACCTATAAAAATGTGTTTAATTAAAAAGTGGTTGAGCTACTGGCCTTTTGAAAATAATCACTTCTAGAGCATAATATTTTTTTTTCTTAAGTGCTTAAGTTAATTTAAACTATTTTTGTTTGCAAAACACACTTATGTATGTTACTCTCGGCAAGCTGCGTCCTTGTTGTTTTTTTTAAACCAACTAACCTCAGTTGGCCACAAAAATAAGCAGGACATACAGCCAGCAGCGGAGAGTCGAGTTGCTGGAAGCAACTTTTAATTGAAGATTGCTTACTTGCTGCACTTAACTGCCATGCAACAGTAGCAGCAACAAAGGCAGCCAGAGAGCATTCCAAAATATATTAAAGTAAAAGATGACATCCAGCGGTTAGTATGTGGTTCACTGTGCGAGCAAGGACGGGGTGCGGGTAAAGGCATTAAGAGCTGAGCCAGGAACAACATCAAACTGAATGGATGCAGGCGACTTTATGCTCACATTTGCCCCAAAATTCCGAGAGCTCTTTACGCGGCTTTCTATGCCAAAAAGAGCTTATTCGACACACAAAAAGCCATACATACTACGGGTGTATACACACACCCCCATGCCGGGCCAGGAGAAAATGTCCTTTAGCCGCCCAACTTGTGCCTTGAGTTTGTATAGTTTTATAATTTTTATTTAATTAGTTTTAAAACTTTTTTGCAGTGTGCGTCTGTGTGAGTGCTAGCCATAAATGCGCACAAGCCCAGGTTCACCCACACAACAAAAAAAAGGGAGACATTGTCATGCAGACAAAAAAAATGTTAATAGAAAGTGAAACCTTACATTAAAATTGTTAACTATTTTCCTATAAAAGGGACTACATATTTTTAACTATTCTCTGTTTGAAATATGGATTTCTACATCATACAACTTTACAATTTTCGCTCTGTGCTAGTCAAAAGTTAAAGTTACCGGCTTTTATGAGTTAGTGAAGGCAAAGGCGAAGCCCTACCCCATTTTAAGCCCCACAACTGGGGACCCTCCCTTTCGCCTTTATGGAGGTGCCACTGCCCAAGCCTTGTCCTTCCCCTTGCGCCTGTTCCTTTTCCCTTTTTCCTTAGACCCCCAACTCCTGTGTATGTGTTTCTGGTTCTGCCTGCAATTGTGTTGATAATTTGAAAATTCATTTAAAGTTTTTGTATCGCGTTTTTGTTTATAGAATCTAATGAATAATTAACAAAGTTCTTGTGCATTTGAAAAGACGTCAGCGATGGCAACGATGGCAAAGACTTCCTGGTCGTTACGAAATGCGAGCCAACTTTTCATTTGCGGCAAATATGGCTGGCGTTGCAAAAGTTTCATGTTTACTTATTATTTACAGACTCTAACGACAAGTCAGCCAAAGTAAAAAAAATCCCAAAAAAAATAAAAAAAAAAAACGTTCAGCATCCGCACACACAGACATCCCACAAATTATAAATAATTTACGGAAAATTCTATTTCCCCCAAAACTTTCGCGACTGAAGAGCTCTTTAAAATGATAAAAAGTTAATAAGTTAGGTGATTTAAAGAATGATTATGAAAAGAACTTTGGTTGTTTTTTTTTTGTTTATATATTTTTTTGTTTTTTATGTATAAAATAAAATTATAAGCTTATAAACAAGGATCACTTAAATGTACAAATCTCTAAAATTTACGCTTCATTTTGAACGATTTCTATCATTCTTCGATGTTCTTCTCTAATTTCGTTTACAAAATTTTGTGTCATTTTCTGCGAGCGTGGCAATTTTGATATGTCTTTATATTTGTTAATCAAGGTATTTGGAAAACGGAAACACAAAGAGATAGCAACAGGTTGACTCAGACGAAACGATAAAGATTTATAAATTAGAAACACAGTTCGGAAGTCAACTGAGAAGTACGAAAATGGCAGAGATATAGGTTTTGATGCGTTTCGAATTAGGATTTGAGGCTGGCTGAGTATTTTCATTTTCTTTTTGTGATGTGATAGGATTTTGGCAGGATGTTTGGGAACTAGGGATCTGAGTTGATTGATCTTGTTGTTTTGTTTTTTTTTGTTGGGGCTGTAGTTGTAGTTGCTGTTGTTGTTGTTTAGTTATTGTTGTTAAAGTTGTAGGTTGTTGTTGTAGTTGAATTTATTATGTTTATGAGGAGGAGGCAGCTTTGGTTTTGGGCGCGCCCTTAGTGCGACCTTCACTGTTCAATCCAGCTAGAAGCTCGCTCTTGCGGATGCTCTTCAAATCCAGATCGCCGTAGTAGTCCTCGCTGTAATTGTAAATGGGACCAAGGTAAAGAGATATGTCAGAAAAGGCCAGAGCAATGGATATGTGAGATGCGATATGTATTAAGTAGACAGTAGTGGTGGATAGTGACAGTATAGAGTGTAGAGGTATGGTGTTTCATGTAGTTCTGGGTGCTTAGTGGTGAAAGCGTGGCAAGAAATAAGATTCCATAATCTGCATTCTACAGAACTAACTATCGTTTTTGAATTGTCGACCTCGACCTCCTAATTCTTTTCAAGCTGTTTCGGCAATGAACTCTTTTGCGTGCAAAGCATAACCAAATCAGGTGCCAGTCCAAAAAAAAAGATCAAGAAAAGGGTTGTAAACTCACCATCCGGGAACATCCTCGGGATCCTCGCAGTTGCCAGTGCCATCGCTGTCACCAATCTTGAAAACTGTGCCAATGGGGCATCCGTATTCGCGAGCCACACCCTCCAGGCAGATGTAGTACTTGCGGCAGTCCTCGGGGTGGGCATGACGCGAGAAGGAACCGGCGTTGGCCAACTCACCGGCGGCAGGGCAGGAGAATCCGTTGGCAACCTCTGCAAGGAAGATGGCAAAGAACATTAGTCTATATTCATTATTAAAAGGAGTCCCAAAACATACCTTCGTTCTTGCACTCGGGAACCTGATCGGCCCACATGCAGACGCGGGCATCGCGATCGTAGGCCAATCCGGGAGAGCACTGATACCTGGAGGGCTCGCCGTTCCAGCAGTTCCAGAACACGTCGCACTTGTTCTCATCGGGGAAAATGCCGTACAGGCGGGCGCAGTGGGGAGTGGTGATTGGGGGCTCTGTAAAAGTATATTTTATGTAATTAATAACTTTATCTACTTCCTTGTAAAATTTTAAGAACATACCCAGCTCTGTGCGATCACCACAGTCAACGTTGTGCAGATAGTCGCAGTTCTCGGTGAGGTATTTGCTGTCTGTGGCATCGAAGGCCAGACCATTGCCGCAGGTCTTCAGCTCAGAGACGCCATTGTCGCACTTCCAGTATTTGTCACAGGATGTGTCATGTGGATAGAATCCGAAATCGTCAGGGCATTTAAAGCTACTTTGGGCCACAGCTGAAAGAAATAATAATAATTAAATAAGTAAATAAGTCCTTCTTAAATAATGCCATGCATTTGTTAAGCTTTAATTGGTGACCAAAAGGAATCCCTATGAGAACAAACAAATTCCCAGAAAAATATGATAGACAAAAAAGGAAATCCCGCAGCGTCTCAAGCCAAGCAGATGCAGATACAGATATACACGTATACGTGGAGATGCCTTTTCTTATTATGACGGCAAGGAGCGGACGACAAAGACGACGATGATGATGACGCTGGGCACGGCCATTTGTCATCTGGCCCAAAAGGCATTCACTTTAAAAAGTCTGATGTCTGACGGAGAGGCGACGGTTGCCAATAAATCTCGAAGACAACTTTCAGCACAGCCAGACACACACGGATCGCTGACAGCTCAGGGCCAACTGCATTTACTTTTGTTTCGCGTGCTATGTTTTTTATCTTGGTCCTCTCCCTCGTTTTTCGGGTATGAAATTACACCGAAACCTGCCACAGAGAGTTGAAGCACCTGAAACCTGCCACCAAGGACTTATCCCCACTCCATTTCCATCTCCAGCTACATCTCCATCTCCTCGTGACCTCCCTTGTTTTTTTTTTATTTTTTTGTGTGCTGTTTGAGCGGCATCCGAACTCAGTGCAACCACAAAGCGTAACGAACTAAATTGCATTTATACAACTAACTAATGCGGTATTTGCCGGCACTAGAACGCACTTCTGTATATTTGGGATGGCAAATCAAATGGCAGCAGTCAAAAAATAATTACCCACGTGTAACCTGGCATTGAAAGAAATTCCTCGTAAAATGAACAAAATAACTCGCACCCCGCCGGGAGTGCCCCATGTGTGATAATCTAATTGCAAAGCCACAGAGTTGCGGTCACGTTTCATTTCCAATGTTGAATGTTCAATCAGAAGTGCGCATCGATTGCCTAAGCCGTCGGCTCTACCCTGTACCTCATCCATCGCCAGCTGGCATAAAGAGTCTGGGCAACCGCATCCGTGCAACAATTGAATGGCAAAAAGAACCCAAACAGGGATACAGAAAAATCCACTGATTCCCTTGTGCCTGCATAAACATCATGCAATTTACATTTGTTTGTGAGTAAACTAATCAAATATTAAATTTTAGATGCATTTATGCAGTGATGCAGTATCCAAGCGCCCAAGTAAGCGCCGAATAAATCAAAACGTTGCCATCGATAATATTATATGGGGAGTTTAATTAAAAACTGCAATTTTCGCTGCGTATTTATTTTTACCGAATAATCGCAGTGCTATTTCATATACCCGTACAAGCCAAACCAATATGATGGCTGGCTTAGTCAGTCATTTAGCCATTCCCGAAACGCAAAAACAACATTTCTGTTTATTCGTTCTACGCCTCGCGCTTTGAATTTGTTTATTGTAATTTTGTTAATTACGCAGTTTGTTCGAATTCTGATTTAAATTTGGCTTTAATATCGCAGCTGGCCCGTTTGACGGACTTAATAAATTCGAGGAATTCCAATTTATTACCGTTTATTGTTATGGTTATCTTGTGGCGGTGGGGGCACGGCGGGCAGGGCAGTCTGCGACATCAATTAGCCGGCCACTTCATGGTTCGAGCGCAGCCATTCCCGAGCACTTAGCCAGCCAGCTCAGCTAACATTCACCGGGTTATAATAACTTTGTTGGACTAGCGCGACCGTTGCACCTGCAACTGTGCGGAAAAAGTGCAATCTGACATTGTTGCCATTGTTGCAGCCGCAGGAATGGACCGCATCCCTAATGCCTTCGCACACAGACACATGCCCTCGGTGATGATTGTGCACTTACTGCGCTGTGTGCCCTGTGTGTGCTTTGTCGCCACATGTTTTCCGAGCAATTACTTAGGCACCTGGCTCACAGTGCGTATGCGCTATATTTCTCCTAGCCTAATGTTGCAGTAAGCAAACAAGGAAAGTATGGGTTTAATTCTAAACTTTCAATTTCCTCACATATACATTTGTATGTTAGAGAGGGGATTGTTTTATTGAAAGCTTTTGACCAGAATTTTAATGAATTCAAAGAATTTCAATGACTCATTCAACGGATTGTGGTGTGCAATTAATTTAAAATAGATTTCTGCAAACTATAATGCCTTTCGATCACATCACGCGCCACTTGGCCCATTATCTAACCAGAGTAGAGTTTCTGTGGACATGACATAACATCCAGATTGACGTAGAAAACCGCAAGAACCAGCCAGAAACTTCAAGCCGAACGAAAATGAAAGCAATACCCAGACTAGCCCACATTCTCGATTAAAAACCGGTTCGGTCAGATTCAGATTCTAGACCAACTACTAACCCACTCCGAAGTCTGAGGTCTGCGGACTGAAGCCTGGCTGACTGAAATCTGGGTGTCTTTTGTTCTCGACCATGCCGACCATGCCGGCCATGCCGGCCACGCCGCCGGGCACGGAGCGGCACACCTTGGAAATAAATAGTTTGGCACTGGCATGCCGGCCAGTGCAATACTCGTATATGGATAATGCCGACCGACCACGTGAGCCAGGGAATTATTTATAAGCTAGTTAGACTGATTGCCTGGTGTTGCATGTTATTTAATTTACTGTTTGGCCATAATTGTTTTATCTATCAGCTCTGCGAGCTTAATTACATTTTTTGCTCCTTTGGTGCAAACAATGCGGATGGGCGGTGTCTATGTACATACTGTATGAGCTGCTGTGAGTCTGTTTATGCGCATTTAAATAAAACAATACATTTTTATTGACATTTTAACAGTTCAACCGACATTTGTGTTGGTCTTATTGGTTGATTGCACACCATTGGGTGACCCCCAGTCGCTGTACCAATAGCTGTTTATCATTTGTACATCCGCTCGTCCATTAACATAATCATTTAATTAACCAAAAATGTACACAGCCCACTCTCACAAATTACAAACTTTATTAAGCGGCCTAGAGGCTGTGGCAAAAACCCGATATAATGAAATTAATTTATGTTTCACTTAACTGACAGACACTGTCAAGATGCAAATACGGTAATGCAAATAAATTCATAATTTGAAATTAACAAATGAATGCGTTAGCAAATTTGCAAATTGCATATTCGTTTTCAATAATTCATTGCCACATTTTGTAATTAGATGCAAATACAAAGCCTCAGACTGAAGTCCGCCGCCACCCATCCGGAGAAAAGTATCTTTTTCGAGCATTCCTGCTGCTTATCATTGCTGCTTTGAATCCAACTCGTATCATGACAAATGGTGGCAAATTCCAGCTCAGTTGTCAGCCCATAAATACGAGTATCTAATGGTTGGGAGCAATGAACTGGGCATGGGCTTTCGACATGGCAGCTAACATGTCCAGAAGGACCTCCGACTCATAATCGCTCCTGGCTCCTACGGTTGCAATCTCAGGTTGCTTGTTTTTGTCTGGCACTTGTGTAGGGAAAAGTACAAGTATGTATCTATCATTTGGTGTGGCAAATTTCTGGCCTCTTACTGTGGCTCCACCGCCGATGGCTGGTGGTGGTGTTATTTTTATCGTTGTTTGCATTGTTGTCTGCCAAGGCATTGCCGCCGTATAAATCAAGAAAATTGCTGACATTTAAGCACGTTTCGTTGGGGAGCCTTTTGGCCTGTGCTTGGTATTTACCCGGCAACAACAGCACTCGAGCATTTCCGCTAAATGTTGCTGTTTCTGTTGGCGTCTTCCAAAAACTGTTTTTGCATACGACGCGCCGACAACAACGTAATGATATTTAAATATTTACCTACATTGTTGCCGGCATGCACCGTATGTGGGTTAATCTGCGTTTGAATTGTTTTGTCTATTGTTTGTCTATTTTTTCGATAGTTGTCGAGTGAGGAATTGCAGTGAGAAAAAGGTACTAGTATTCTTCAAAGAATGGTCATGTCTTGCCGCCATTCAAATCATCATTTTTATTAATTTTTTTTCCAGTGCTGAAGTGACTGTGTGTCATATGTTGGCACAAGGCATCGCCATCTCCAATAGTTTCGACTTGTCACAGATTGAGCAATAAATCCGTTTAGACCAAGAATGCAACTTAGCCCCTTTACATATATTTACCATTGAATAGATATGATTTTTTCAAATTTAACGCATCGCCGCTGCCGCTTTTTGGGAAAATTGATTTGCAATGCCTCGCGTGCCCCGCCAAAAGTGGCATGCAAATTGAGTTTTAAAAGCGTTGTGTTGGCTTTCCCTGTTGTTGGCCATAAATCAGCATAGATAGCCAGCTTGTGTGTGTGCTCTAATGCAACCTATACAATGCCAATAGGGCCACCCATTCCTCCCCTCAGTTGCATGTCGACTAAGGCCCTTTTCATTTGATTTTGTTGCCACAAAATAAAAACTTTTCAAGCGTGACTTGCTGCTGTTGCCGCTGTTTGTGTGCCTGCTGTGTGGCAATAGAAAATAGCAAAATTTATTTTGTATGTCTTTTGCCACATTCTTTTTTTGCAGCTGCGGTTTGGTGTTAGTTTTCGATACCAAGCCGCAAGCAAAAAAAGAAATAATCAAAAGTCGCAACAAAATGCGGAAATTTATTGTGTGCGGCTCCCGTTTTCTCGTTTTTCGGAAATCTTTGGAACGCTTAAATTGTTTATAGCTGTGATTAGCTGTGATGCTTGTTGTAACTTTTTCGACCCCCGAGATTTAGCCAAAATTTAGTGGCCATTGGCCAACATTAAATTCCGGCATTCAAGCCGCACCACAAATGAACAAGTGAACAGCCAAGTGGCTGGCGAACAAATGAGCAAGTGCCATTGCATAATTAATGGCAACTTGAACTTGACAATGCTCGGCGGCTTTGCATCGACATGGGCCCATTAAAACATTTATGTTTCGGCCCGTTGTTAACTTTAATAACTCTGAAATTGCTCGTAATTAAATATTGAGCAGCGAAATTGCTTTTGCGGCCATGCACGAATTGGCAGCAGAAATGCAGGCACGCAATTCGCAAAAATTTTTTAAGTTGAATAACCAAAAAAGAGAACGGGTTTTGGGGAGCGGCTTCGGCCGTTGCGTAGTTAAGATTTCCCAGCCTAGCCCACCCCTAGCCCATCCCATCCATTAAGCATCTTTGTAGCGTTAATCTAAAAAGCATTTCAATGTCAATGTCAGAATTCGGCACTGGACAGTGATTTGCAAATTTTTTTGCAAATATTTTGTGGTTTTTTGATTAGTTGCCACACCTCTTCGGGGTAGTTGGAATTGAAATTTAAACAGAAATCCGAAACGGATTGGTTGGCGCTCCAGTTTCGTAACCGTCTGGGATTAGATAACCTGCAGCTCGGCCGCTCTGCAGCTCGAATCTAAATATCGCTTACAACACAGCCACAGATCGGTTGCAAAATCGAGCTGCAACAGAGCCAGACGATCGTACATACATAGGCTGTTGTAACTTCTCCCAGCTTTTTTAGGCGGCGTCGATGAGGTGATGAAATCGAACCGCACCAATAGATGCGGAGATACATCTACAGGCAAAGATACAGATACGGATGCAGGTACTGACTGCCACATCGCAAATGCATCTACTCTCGACTTGTGTGGAAAATGCAAGCTAACGTGCCTGGGTTGGGCCAACTTGCTCAATTACATTTCCCTCTGGCCTAGCTCTTCGACATGGACTTCGACAACGACTTCGATTTGGATTTCGACTTCGATTGCGAGCTCCACTTCGATGTGGATGGATGCCAGGTAAAAGTGGAGCAGTGATAGTTGATTTACTCGTCGTTGCACAAGCACACTCTCGATTTTTGCACACTAACTTTTCAACACAACACTCAAGTGTCCTTCATGTTGCGCAAGCGGAAAAGTGGTTTTCTTTTTCCCCTTTCCTCTCTCATTTGAAATTTGAAATTTGAATTTTTATTTGGAATTGGAGTTGGAGCTGGAGCTGAAGCTTGTGATGGATTCCAGGACTGTGGACTGTTGAATTTCACTTAGCTAGCTAAAGATACATACCGGCTCCGAATAATGCCACAAACACGACGAGAAACTTCTTCATTTTGCGAGCGATTTGTGTGCGTTATAGCTTGTTGTTGCTATTGATTTTTATAACTTTTAAGGGGCCGTGAGACGGAACCGCACTTGAACAAAACTGAAACTGAAAACTCGGCTCAAAAACCCGCTGGTACCGACGACTTGGAGTATGTGTGGCTGGCTGCTGGCGCGGGAGCTTTTTATACCGCTGCGCATGCGCGACGTCGCGAACAATCCGACGCCGACAGCAGCTGCGACGCCGGCGCAGATGGCCGCCGAGGCAGCGACATTGCAACGGTATATTCGTAGAAGCCATTTTCGGCCTCTCTCTTTCACTCTCTCTCACTTTTTCGACTTGTTTTGTATGCAGCAGGCGGCATTAGCGCCGGCAGCGCTGTCTCAGTCGCTGTTACTGCCGCTGTCGCCGTCGACGCGAGCGCTGGCGTTAGCGCGGCGTCGACGTCTATTGTTGTGGCCCAAACCATTTGTCAATTGATCGGCCGCGCAGCCCGCGCTTTGCATTTTTCCTTTTCTTTATTATTTTTATGTACCTTGTTTTTATTTTTATGTTTTTTAATTTTTAAGGTGGGAGCTGCAAATGGAATTTTTGCCCGAAAGTTCAGTTTTCAGTGCACTGCTAGTGAGTGTGATTGTTGGTGTGTGTGTGTGTGGGCCAGGCTCGCAGCCAATTTGTATCTGAGGGCACGGCATCTAGCAATCCGCAAGATACTTAGATTCATGGCTGAACTTCACCTTTTTTCTGCTTCTACGATGTGAGTCATGAGCGCGGAATTTTCTATCCAATTGGAGCATTGCGCATACGCCGCATGGGCTAAAAGTTAATCAACTCTATTAGCATGATTTCCTAATGCGACGGTCAACCGGTGTTCGTCCGTCCGGTGGCAATGCAATTTAAATTATGCACTACTCAGCCCCCACCCTCGGGCGTCGCCATCCCGTAGAGTAAATAAACAAACAGCCAGACCATACAGCCCATAGTCACTCAACTGGCTGGCATTTAAAACAGGCCGTCATCTCGAATGCAGTGCGTTCCAGTAAAAGGTAGGCCAGCCAGTTGTTGTAGCTGCATTTTATTTGCTCTTTTTCTTTTTTCCATTTTTTCATTTTAATTTTCGATTTTTTTTTTTAGCTATTAAAAGTGACCCAGCTCGGCGGTCAACGGCTGCCACTCAGCGGCGCCTTCGAGTGGCAAGAAGCTAAAATTACAAAAAAGCGTGCAATTAAATGCAGAAATGTGATTCAAGGTTTCGGAATGCAGGAAGAATATGAAATTACAGTCAGCGACTGCTGCAGAACAATTACAACAAGATTGTGATGGCAAGTCGAACTTGGTGCACAGAGAAAATGTTTCTTAGGTATTTTGTTCTTAAAATTTAATAAAATTATAAGTTTAACGTTTTACATCATACCTTAATTTGCTTTAAGTTAAATTAATTAAAATCATGGTATTACGTATACGTAATATTTTAATGTTAAAGTTTTCCTACATTTTCCAATCAGTTTTCTTTCTTTCTACATGTCTCTTGATTATTTCATGTAAGCCCATTCTTGGTTTTTCTTTCCGTGTTTCAGTCGAGTTCAGTAGAGTTCGCCTGAGTTTAGTCGAGCTCTGAGGTGGCTGCGTTATTGAAGTGGAGGCTAGAAGACTTGCGACTGGCTGCCTACATGCCCAGACAGCGAACCAGTTTTAGAAGTGCAAAAGCAACAGCAGCAATCCAGGCAGCAGCCATTGCAGCAACAACAATCCCCACTGCAACTGCAACGATAGCAGCAAAAAGCAAACTGAGCCACCTTGTCAGTTATGCTTTCGCTTTCAATAGCCCCTGCCACTGGGTGTCGCTCTATTTGCGGCAGTTACTCATAGCCAGTTGCATTTTTTTTTTGTGTTTCTCCTTCTGGGGTTATTACTGGTTTTCTTTGTTTCAGGACCAGAGCCTAGATTTTTGGGGTTCTCCTAGGGTCGGGAAACTTGTTTGCCGCACAGCTGTATCTGTTGGTTTAATTTTCGGTTCTGTTTTTTGGGGGAATGCAACAAGGCGTTTCCATCAAATTGAATGCCAAATTATGCCAGAGCTGTTTGAATTTGTGCTAGCCAGTTAAATGCGGCTTTAGCCTATCATAGTAATTTGTGAACGCCAAATTAAAAATATGTGAAAAATGCAAAAATTACATCAGATTGCCCCGGAGATTGTGAGTGGTTTTAATTGTTGATTTTTGCAGGCCATTTGTGGGTGGGTGCGGCATTTTAGTCTGCAAACGCCATCGCCACCGCCATCGCATGTGCAACGCGGAAGAAAAGTTGTTTGGCCTGCCACCACCACCCTCCTCTGATTCGCGCCCCTCTCACACCCTCCATTTGAAATGTAACCACTCTCCACACGTGTTAAATGCATGCCATTTGTATGCTATCTCACAGATACAAACTCATCGAGCCAAGAAATATAAGTGAGTGATTGTGAGTGGCGGTAAATTTTTAGTCTGGCTTTTTTGGCCAAGAACCCGCTCGACGAGCCAGCATTTGGCAAGTGCACTTGTGAAACGGTAATTTGTCGTAAAGTCGAGTTCGTGACTGGAATCTTTCGAATCACGCACAACTGCAGTCTGCAATTGAAGGTCCGTTAGAACGGTTTTCATGTAATTAAGCCTATTTGAATATGCGATGCCACTCTGATTCACTCCACCGGCGACCTAGTTGGGTGGGTGTGGTTGAAAGTTAGACCGTTAATTGCTCGGGGAGGCTAGGTGTCATTCCCATATCACCTGTGAAGGTGGAGTGAACAGCAAAAGCAAACTAAGGTTACATGCAAATGCTCGAGTTACTAAGATAGTGACAAGGTCTAATCCCGATCTGACCTAGACAAATATTGTCGCTAGATTTATAACTAATGTATTTAAAACCATATCTGATTAAAATAAAAATTTTAAGTAATATTAAATACATAATCGTGTTGAAAAGACATTGAATATGTCACTAATTATATTATATTTTGTGTTAATTGATGACCTTAGCTTTAAGCCCAACAATTGTTGACCATCCTGCTCTTTAGTTTTAGCAACAAGATAATTGTTTAGGCCAACTCCACTGGCTCTGGACAATTTTACTCAAGTGTGTGCTCACCTTGCCTTCCGTTAATTTTATGACACTAGCTTTATGACAGCTGATGGCTGTATCTTTACATAAGCCAATTTCGATTGCCAACCCCTCGGGACCGGACCTAGCACGGTGGCGACTGAAATGCCCCGGGTCAGTGGAAAACTGCAGCTGAAACTGCAGCCGCCAAGAGTTTTATTCAAACGTAACGGCATGATTTCAATATATTGAACAATAGCATTTCTCATTTCACAGTTTACAGTTTTCATTTATTAACTAATTTCGGATTTATGTAATCTGTAAAGTGGCAGGCCTCAGTCTCAGTCTCTGTCTTGGCCGATTACACGCAACCACAGTCCGAGGTCAATGATCAGTGAAATTTACTTTCAAAATCTGTTGAAAAGTGCTTACTGCCAGAGCTAATGTTTCGCCCCCTTTCGAGTCGGAAGCTTGAGATATTACCTGTGAGATTAATTTGTAAGATCAAAAACTTGAAGAGCTCAAGATGTAAAGAGCTGAAGAGCTGTTTTTGGGTGTTCCAAAATTGGGCGCATCATCAGGCCCAACCCCGGCCCATCGTCATTTGGAACAACATCATTATCATTGGCAGTTGGTAGTGGTAGTTACCTGTTGGTGGTTGCCAGTTGGCAGCACACACCTTCATTAGGCGGGCTGCATTTTACCACACTTGAAATCGCAACACAATGAATAAATCTGCATAATTAATTCCCACCTAACAAAGATGCCGAGTTAATGAGCTGGATGCTTTGCACCGAATTGAAGGCAACAAACACGCACAGGTTGTTGACTTCTTCAATGTTTCCCCCAGCTCACTTTCGATTTCGGCTACGGGTTCGGTTTTTGGCCAGATGTTGGGCACACACATAAAATCCACATGCCGCCTAGATGTATTTTTAATTATGGCCATTTCACGAGGGACTCATCGCACCCACACCCCCTGGCACTTGAAATACCACAAAACCCGTAAAACATAAAAGCAGCAGCAGCAGAAGCAACCCCGTTAAGTGGAGCTTTGATTTGCATGCGAAATGTGCCAAAAATTGCACAACCCTCGCCGCAATAAGTTGATGTATTTTTAATTATATTTGCCAGGCCCAATTTGTAAATGTCATTAAACGCAGCTGGCCTGCATTTAGTGGCAAGTTCAGTTTAGTTCCCCAACGGAGCCAAGGACACAAGCGAACCCATTGTTATCGCCTCGAACATCTCACCGCTTTTATCAAAAGGCCCGGTTAATGTATAAAACACGAATCGAATCGCATCGAATGGGCTCGGATCGGCTCGAATTCGATTTTAGTTTCAGTTTCTCACCCATAAAACACTGTTGCCAAAAAGAAGACAGCGCAAAACGAATGAACGCACCCTGGCGGAAACTGGGTTATAACCTTGAAATCTTGCATACAAAAGAAACGCTTTAAAATTCCAGCTTCTCAATCCACAAAAAAATCACCCAGCGGGCAAAGGCGGGAAAGAAAGCCAAATTAATGTGACAGGTCGCAGCCCTGCCAAAATTTATTCAAATCTATGCTGCCGGGGCGCTATGAAAATGCTAAACACTGGCTATGGGATTGGAGCGAATGGTTTTGAAATCGCAATGCCAGAAAAATGCGACGTGTGTTGCCAAAGTTGCAGCCAGGCGGCTGCATTTCCAATTGCCAAAGGTCAGGCCCCAGTGCATCTCCACGCACCTCCAGTTCCAGCCAAGTCCAGTTTATGGCCGATGGTGGTGCTGATTGGGGTACTGGTGGGGCTGCTGCTGTGTGTCGTCATCGTTGTCATCGCGGTTGCCCCACCGAAAGCCGTTTGGCAACCACTTGCGGGACGGGCCAGAAAACAATTAACTATATAACGAAAATTTGTTCAAATTGTGACTGTGCGAGAGTGAAAGAAGAGAGGAAATCGACAAACTGGATTTATAATTTTACGGCCAAACACGCAAGAAAACGAGCCAAGGTCATTGCGAAGAAATTGTGAGGGGAAACTTGCACAGAAAACAATTTCTTATATTTTTTCCTTTAAGCTCCTTTATATTCTCCTTACAATTTCTTATATTTTTTCCTTTAAGCTCCCCTAAGCTCGATATTCCCCTTTGCTGAAAGCCTTATTATTTTGAAGCTTCATTTGAATTTCATAATTATAGGTACTGATTAATATGTTTGTTTTTTTTTTGTGGCTTGGATTCGTGGAAGTGGAAGCTGTTGTTTTTGTTTACTGTTTGGCCAATCTGGCAGAACCACTTTGGAGCTATTTGCTGTTTTGCTGTTTTGGCCACTTGCAATTGCGCCGATGAAGATCTCTTCACTGGACTGGGATGATGCGACGTGTTTTGTTAAACATGTTTTGCTTATTCGTGGTGCTCTATACCCGATACCCGGTACCGGAGACCGATTCCGAATCCGGTTGCTTAAAAATGTGTAAAGTGGGACGATGTCGCTCCTTTACAAGCCAGTGAGCCAAAGCAGAAAAGACATTATTAAAAGCCCCGACAAGTGGTCGGGCAAAATGCCAAAACCAAAACACAAAATCAATTAACAGCATTCAATAGCACAATTCCATCGAGTGATGGTAGTTGGTGTAAACAGTTGTGGCACGGTTGGCAGGTGTTGATCAATAAAAATGCAACTGGGCAGCGGGCCCATCGCTTACGATCTGCTCGAATCAGTGATCGTTGCGTAATTCCGCCGGAGGTTCTTTGCGCAAGCTGTCCCGAAAACTTGAACTGCTCGCCTTGATTAGGGCTCCCTTATCATGACCAGGCAGCACAGCAGCTTCAGTTTGAACTTGAGTCTGAAAAATTGGGTTATCAATTGCTAAGCGACTAAGGCAGCGGATCACTGAAAACAAACATGACAACTATGAAGGGGACTAACTTGAAACCAATTTAATAAATTACACACTAGCACTTTATTTTCATAGGAATTTATTTCTCTGTACAATTGATAGTGATTATGAGGTGGTTAATTGAATTTTTGGCAAAGATTCAGTATTCAATCGAGCATAGAACACGACGGAAACTTCTGGAAGAGTAATAATTTCTCAAATCATGGAGCTAAGAAAAGGAGTCCTTCTTCATTTGTGTCTGTTGCTTCTAGTGGTGGGTACTATATTTAAAATATTAAAAAAAAACCTATTAGCAATACAATTTACAGGTTGAAAGTCTTGCTTTACTTAACCGCGAAGCTGAATCTATTAACAAATGTGTACAAAATTATGGAGGACTCACCCCGGAGACTGGCGAGAGACTGTCGCGTTTCAAGGAATGGTCCGAGGGCTACGAGGAGATTCCGTGCTTCACCCAGTGCTACCTCAATGAAATGTTTGAGTTTTACGACGTGTATACTGGCTTCAACCGGACAGGTGTTATCAAGGCCTTTGGAGAGCCAGTCTACAATGCATGTGCCCAAAAATTGCAGTTGCCTTGGGGTTCTCGCTCCAGTAATTGCACTCATGCCTATGTGGGATTTCATTGCTTAACAAAAGTGAGTAGAAAGCTTTCAATTAGAGTCCTGAAAGATGGCTAATTGGTTCAACCGCTCTCAGATGGAGAACCACCCGTTTATGCTGATAGAGGGCATGCCGAACCTCGCCCCAATAGCCAAGGAGGCGATGAAGGACTGCCTCCAGGCGGTGGATCTGCAAGAATGGGATCGCTTCCAGGCCTTTGCCGGTTTTCCAGTTTCTGAGCCCATTCCCTGCTTCACCCGATGCTTCCTTGACAAATTGGGACTGTTTGACCAGAAAACGCGACGCTGGCGGGTACCGGCCATGCAACAGCTACTGGGTGTTCCCGCCCAGGGGGGCGCCTACGGCATGTGCCACCGACACAGGGGCCGCAACATCTGCCAAACTTACTACAAGCAGTTCACCTGTTACGCCATGGCAAAATCAAACCAAAATGTATCCTAGGGAACACGCAACTTGATGGATCCGACGAGACAAATTTCAAGAATAAAGACAAGATATATGGTTACAAAATGATTACATGTTTAAGCCGTTCAAGCTTTCTTATATTTACAAAATATGCGAACTAAATATCCATTTGTATGATTCTCCATTTCTGATATGAGTATAAAAGATTCGTAAATAATATTAAGTAGTTTCTTTGCTCTCCTTAGCCAAATAATTTCCGTTGAGGCGCTCCCAGCACCTGTATTCCTGATACATCCAGACGCACTTGTCGGACGCCTCTTTGCGATCTTTATCGCTTAGCCGGCACTCACTGTAGTCCAGATCCGACTGGGATTTACTCTCGTCGTGACTAGGTCCAAAGGCCTGTTGCCAGTTGGAGAGCCGCCAGTTGCCATCCAAGTCGTAGAAGCCCATGGCATCCGAAAAGCACTGAAATAGACACGGAATTGGCTCCTTTGGATTCAGTTTGCTGTACTCCATTAGCTGCACATTGGTGGCATTCAGTTGGCGGGAGCACTGCAGCAAGGTGCCCAAACTGGTGCCGGCATGCAGCTCGGCCTGCTTGAGGCACCGCAGACCCCTGTACGCGAAATCGCATCCGTTGGTGGACTTTCGGCGCAATTCAAAACGGCAGTAGTTGTAAACATCCGCGCCCAGGTCGTCGGTCAGTTTCTGGCCCTTCCAGCGATTGTTGGTGATGTCGAACCAGCCTTTTTCGCTGGCCAGACACCGCATCAAACATGGCAGCTCCTCCCGCGTCCACGATGTATAGTGCTCCAGCTTCTGCAGGTCTCCGGCAATCCGCTCTGGGGTACTCAGTTCCCGGAGGCACTTCTCCAGCATCTGGGCGTCGGCCGCCAGGTCGGCTAGAACCTGTAGTTATTGTGCATGTCAGTGAATATTAAAGGTGTAGACACCCTTGAGTTTTCGCACCTGACTGCTGAGCAGCAAAATGACCAACAAAGTCCCCCACGGAAAACCCATCTAACTGCGGGCAATGCACAAACCAAACTACGAGCTACGAAAACATCCGCCGGGCGGAGTCAATGATCAGCGGCCGGCAATGCAGCGGAGGCGGAGGTTATCGGGAGTCCGGAGATAATGCCCGCGGGTTCAACGAATGCCAGTTCAAGCGCCGCGCCGGAGAGTGAATGCACAGAGCAGAATAGAATTCAATTGAATGAAAAGAGCGTTCCACGGACGGGCCTTGGACTAGGTCAGTTCCGGGCAGACATTATTTTGAACAGTGTATTCCGTATTAGAATTAATTATAAGAGAATCTTTTTATTAAAATACAGTACGCTTTATTTAATATTTCCTATAAAATGTGTTTTAAAAAGTAGTTCTCTTGTAATCAAATAAATCTTATCAGAAATGTCGGCAATGTCTCCTAAAGACTTTCGAATTTAATTATACATTTCTAATAATGATTTTCATTATACCTTCTTTACTAATTAAACAAAAACTCAAATATTTCAAGAAATGAAAATGCAATCCAGGTAAGGGTTTTTATTTACAAAAACTATTCTTTAAGTAAAAAAAAAATATCACATTAAGTTAGGTAAAAACCTTGCGCACCACATGGCGGTTGATGGGCAGCCAGCAGGAGAAGACGCGGTTGGCCCAGGTGCAGGTGTCGGACTCGGCTTCGTTGTGGTCGATGCACTTCTCCAGGCCGTGGCGGACCGATTCGAGGTCCTTGTGGCCCTTGGAGGTGAACTGGGTGATCATAGCGTTCTCATTGTAGCCCTTGCTTTCTGTGAACAGGCCCAGCTTCTCCACGAAACACTTTACGAAGCAGTTAGTGCGACGGTGGGCGGGGAACTCGAACTTGACGAACTTCTCGTAGATATCGTCCGGCACGTAGAAGTCTTCGCGGCACTCTTCGAGAGCCTTCTCGGCATCGGCGGGAGTCTTCACCTGGAACTTGGCCGCCTGCAAAGTAATTTGAGGATAAGGTGTCGGTTCCATCAGCAAGGGCAACCACTGGGCACTGACCTGGCAAACGGCTAACACGGCGAAGGCTGCGATCAGGAGGAGCGTGTGGGACTGCATTTCTGTCTTGGACGAGGGCTCAGGTGCGAATGTGGCAACGGGTCGGGTCGGCAACTAAGTCAAGCCAAGATTTTCCATTATCTTTATATGCTCTCGCCAGTGGGCCCACACCAATATACAAATCTCGCATCGGACCAGATTATGAACTGGAGCTGGTACAGTAAGGATATTCATAAAGGAAGTAGGTTTGATTTTAAGGAGATTTTATTATTTAATGGTAAAATTTATACATGAATTATAATAAATATTATTGCCCTTATTAAAGTTTGTGACATTAGTGGACATTTTAGGCAACGTTCACTGTGATAACACGCCAAACCCGTTACTGACAAGTCCGCCCGCTGGTGCGGTGGTGCGATGGTACCGCCTGGTGGTTAGCTCTTGTTGTGTGCTGATGTGGTGCCTTGGTGGTGCGGCACCCTTGCGTCAGTTTGCTCTAAAAAAAACTAAATACGAAACAAACAAATCGGCTAAGTGAAGCAGTCGCAGCCGTGGCGGAGGGAAACTGGAAACTGGTTTATCTGAAGTCGGCCGAAGTCTACTCCGCTGTCAGTCGCATTGTTGTTGGGCCAAGTTGGGGCCTGGACGGTTATATAATCGGCAACGGCGCGGCCGTATAATGGTTACGTTTTGCTTAAGCCAATTAAACGATTTGTTTTCCTTCCACAAATTCACTTGGCCTGTGCCACACATTTGCAACCATGCCCCATGTCGCTGTGAAAAATGTGCCCCAGCCCGTTTGCCATTTATTGTTTGGCTGGATGTCGTTTAAGCCTTTTGTTTTTTGGCTCTGCTGCAAATTCTAACACCTCGGTGTCAGCGTGCTGCACACTTCCGCATCCCGGACTGATTTTTTCACACCGTTATTTGCTCACCTGCCACAAACACGCTCGCGTCGACTAAAAAATAAAATACTTTGTTTGTTTACTGCTTTTTGTGTCACGCGCCAGCTGCCCCCGAAAATAAATTAAATAAATTATTCAATTGAATTTATTTATTACCGACCAATTTGGCCGCTCAACAGACTTTTGCATTTGTGTAATTAACGGCAGTTCGTGGAATATTGCGGAATATTGTCCACCTAGCAAAGGGCCTTTCGGGCCAGGTCGGAATTTGTGGAGCTGGTTCGAGGTGCCCAGTCAACCAAACATCCTGGCCAATATTCCGGCTACTCCCACGTCCCTTATTCCCCCAGGCAGCGTCGGTTTTGTTTGCCCTTTACTTTCGCGGCATGTCAATGACATTGGCTTGGGCTCTTGAACCCATCTTTTAAAATGCACTTTGAAAAATATATATTCATCCAACTTCTCTCAACAGAAATATATTTTTAAAATGGTTTTCCATTTAATATTTGATTAAATCTAAAAGATTGTCAGCCCAAGGAATTGCCAATTGTTGTCACTTATTTAATTTAATAATTTTTCATATGTTTTTCGGTTTATTGGCTAAACCAAAAGTAAAAGGCCCCTTAGGGTCCTGGGTCCAGCCTTGGCCCACGTATTGACTTTAGATTATCAGAAGTGTAAACTGATATGCTCAACATGTGAAAGCCACCTGGCAACAAAGTTAAGTAATTGGGCAAATTCCTGCTGACTGTTTTTAGCCTAAAGGCAGTTTTAAGTATCTTCGTGCAAGCAAAATATGATTTTAAAATATATAATTTTCTTACTGAAAGACAGCCAATTTTTTTTAATGAATGTGGGAGTTATTGTATTATTGCCTGCTGGAAAAAATGTGTGCATTGCTAGGATGGAATACAATTTTTAAACAAATATTTGAATTTTATAAAACGTCGACACATGGCGAGTTCGTGATGCCTGACATTTGCAGATCCCGCCTGAATGCTATTTTTTGGTCCGGCTTGCGTTTTAACTTTTGCTGCCATAAATTGAACCAAAGTGCAACTGCCCGCCAGCATATATTTATTTAAAAGTGCTAAAATATTTGCGAAACGCTTCAGAATTGCATTTCGTTCAGGATGCATCTGCACCACCACGGTTCACCGTTTTATTTTCTTTTACCTTCTGCCGTGGGCGGAAACTTTTAAAATATTGAATATTTATCAAATTCCTAAGCTCCGGTCATGCCCCATTCAATAATTGCGTTAATATGCCGTCAACAAAAAATGCCAACAATATTTAATTAAATCCCAGGCAGGTCATAATTGATTTTCCAGCATTTGCCGTGGTTCGAATCTAAAAAAAATTGGCTAACCACATGAGTCGGCCAGTTCGGTAATGGAAACCAACTACTAAACGTGTGGTGCAAATGTTCAGCTTACAGCAAAAAAAGGAACCATGGCAAACAAAATCAGAGTTGCGGTGTGTTTTGTGTACAGGATTTACGCAGTATATAATTAGGTCAATTCCTGATTGAATTTGTCCCATTTGATCAAACCAGAGATGGGAGTTGCTTTCTGACTTTAAAGCATTCAGGAGCCACGCTTCAATAGGCAGCGAGAAAACATCATAACATTTTATTATTGTTGTCCTTGGGTGTCCTCCAAAACCCAAACAACTTCCAGCTCAATTAAAAAAAAACCAAAACAAAAGCAACAGAAACGAAAGCAAATGCCAAAAAGTTACAAGCAAAAAATGGCCCGATGCTTTGAGAGTTTTTGTGGGTGGTTTTTGTTTTGTTACACGAGTGTAGTACAACCAAATGTAAATTCAATTGCTGCCCATGTGAATGCGGCAGGCTGTGTGCCACAGGATGTCCGGCTGGCAGCCATTTTTAGGCATATCGCACTTGCCTTGACCGGCATCCAAACTAAACAATAAAATTTCATGGCCTTCGGCCCGAAATGCTGCAACAGCTACAACACTTGCCGGGCAAAATGCACTTTCAATAACCGGGAGAGGCTTCCAATTCCAGCGTCCCCGAATCCGATCCCATAAATCACAAATTGAGCTGCGGCGTCCACTCACTTGGGCCCGGAGTTCCCTGTCTGGAGCTCGTATATTATGAGCTCATATTAAAACATTTTACACACAATTTCGCCTGCAGTCGCCTGGTGAGCAATGGCAGCTTCTACTCGAGGCATGAATTATTATGCACCTAGGCGTATACGCAATGTTTAATTTTCAACTCGAGCAGCGAGCTCGCTGCTCACATAAATTCCTAGGGCGGCCGACAAACGACTTGTTCAATTTCTCCCCACATAGATACATACATACATCTATTCCCCATACTGCTCTTGTCTCCAGACGAACTAGATGCGGAAGCCCCATGAATGCACTTGGAGAAATGGTAATCAGAAGGCAGCACACTTTGTATTTTAAACGTGAATAAATTCTAAAAGGGTCTAGTTTTGTTTCAAGTGCAGGCTTTCATTGGGCGAGTTCAAAAATATATGAGACGTTGGGACTGAGGAGGCGAGTGACTTTTTTTTGCTATGGCCAGTCTACGAGTTCTGCTGTTGGCGGGCCACGTACACATGTCGAAAACTAACTGCAGCCTCCGCTTCCTCCTGGCACCCTTTCGGCCCCTTTGTCCTCGGAGTCATCAGGAGCTGCAAAAATTTCAGCCATTTGTCCTGCATGCTTGCGGCATAAAAATATGCCAGGGCCAGCATTTTCATGCGGGTCATCTACTTGGAGCCCTTGCTTCAAACTCCGACTCCGAGTCCAGCGTTTGAAAGTCAGGCTACGTGTGTGTCTGTGCCTCTAGAGATTTTTCAGCTCTCTATTTTTCCTATTCCTGTTTTTTTTTTTTTGGGAGGCCAGCTCTGTGCTGCAACTTTTCGGGGCATGGCAAAAATCACACAAAAACATAGGAAAATGAAACTACTCCTAGTTGGCTAGAAAATAACAAAGGGACGAAGGGCAGCCCGTTTAGCAAATGGACTCTGGCTAAAAATGCTGCTGGCACTTTTGCAAAACATTTGAAATACAAATAAAAATCCAAAGCATGTGTGACAAGAGGGGATGGGGTGAAGATTCTGTGGAGACGGGGTCGGGTCGGTCACTGAAATCATTTTCAATGCAAAATAAAATTTCATTTTGTTTTACTTTTCGCCAGCGTCCAGATTGTCCACCGCCTGTCTGCAAGCCGAACATGTTTGTTTACGCTTCATCATGTCGTCGTTAGTTGCTCTGGACCCCGGGCCCTGGACCCTTTGGATGTCCTCTGGATGTCCTGGATGAGCCAATGGCACGATGACATTTTAATATGGCAAGTAACTTTTGTTTAGTCTCGGCACCAGGACTCAGCAGCTAGCAGCTCGAGCTGCTTCATCGCAATTTGAACAGAGATTTCCAGCTGACGACGCCGAATGATGATTCGGGCTAATTCAATTTTATTAAATATTTTTTTTCTACGCCATTCGCATTCATTTCCATTCTGCAATATATTATTTTTCTTCTTTTAGGTAAATTGCTGCCTGATTTGTTATGAATCGAAATCAAAAGGTAATGTAGCGCATAAAATCAGAGTCATACAGACATGAAACACATATCGCTAACCATGCCACCTCCTCTGGGGCCGCACCTTTCGTCTTGCCGCCTGTCTGCGTCTGTTGCACGTTCAATTTTTCATTACTCATGCCTCAATCAATCACAAAAAATGCGATTTTATTTCGTTTTGATGCGTATTATAAGCGTTGATCTGATGTGAGTGTGGGTATTTCATTTTCTTTCGTTTCTGCAAACGTTTCTTTCACGGTTCGCGTGTTGGAAACACTGAGTGCCGAACACTGAATGTCGGGAAGGCGTTGCTGGTCCACATGTGGTATGCGTATTATATTTTGCATTTTTGCCTCAGTTAGCAGCAAGCAGCAGGCAGCTGGCAGCATGTGTGTGTGCATAAATTGAAATTTATATTAATTTAAATGGGCAATTAAGCGGCAGATATTTGAAAAGGTTTTAGCGTAATCTCTTATAATACACCCAAATCACTGCCGACAAACACTCTCATTTATATGGCCGAGCTATTAAAAGCGAGTTACCGATTTCTGCCCTGTCATTCCATCGAAAGTCAATGAAAATGCGAAACGTTGCATAAGTAAAACTCTTTTCTGTTGCTTTGGAGGGATTTACAGAAGCAAGACTTGGGTTTGCGGCGTTATAAAAAATAACTACAAATTCTGAGAACAACCTTTAGGTACTTGACTCTTATCTGGCCACCATGGATTTCAATCTCCGGCATACTCATCATGGGAAACTATTCGCAGAGGCGACTTTAGAAATGCCGATTCATTAAAGTTTTTAAACACGCTTGCTGATTTTTATCTGCCACTCCTACACATACCGAAATAATGTTCCTCAAATAGCTCGTAAATATACAATAGGGGAATTTTTGGATTAAAGTATTTCAGTGGTTTTCTGACAAATAATTTTGTAAATAATTAAAATCCAACTTAAAGTCTTCTTTAAATACTATTTTTATGCAGTTTTTTTTTCGTCTGGTGTATACCTAGGCTTTTTCTAATGCCAGCACTCCCAGTGGTTTTGAAAGGTAAGGAGTAACACCACCTCCTTGGGACTTCCTTGACTCCTTTCCCTGCTTCCGCACTCTCCTGACTATATACACTTTTCAGTCAAAATCCGAGTGGCAGTGAAGAGTGACGTGTCGATCGGTTCTTAGCTTCTTTTGCCTTTTGGTCTCCTACGCGTGTGTCAGAAATCGCTGGCTCGGAGGACTGGCAACAACTTTTGGCGTCGCTGTTGTCGCCGCTTTGACAACGCCTTTTGTGATTGGAATACAAAATAAGATACAGCACAATGAACGTACGAATCTTTACAAACCGAGAGAGAACACATCCAACACACACACCACACAACACACAAAACACAACACAAATCAAACGCATCTGCAGCCGTCAGACAGCTGCTGGGAATTTGGAAAGAAGTCTTTATCTGTATTTGTATCTGTATCTGAATCTGTATCTGCGGCTGCGGCTGGCTGTATGTATCTTCGAACTGTCAATGTATCTTGTAGTTGACTGTGACTGCCTGGTAATTACGTGACGTTTTTTTGATAAATTGTGATTCGTGGCGTGATTTGCGGGCGGCCATTACTTGAGAGACTAATGTGCGGCATGCTCTCAGAATTGGAACAAACGCCAAAACGGTTTGATTTTAATGCATTTCTATTAACGGTTTCGCCCGCTGCCAACACCCGCTATGCCCGTTGGCCAAAAAGACCAAAATGCCGCCACTCCAGCCCGGTTCGGTTCAGTTCAGTTCAGCTCGGTTCGGTTCCATTGAGCCCCGGCCACATGGTGACCCAGTTCGTCAATGGAATCGACAAATACGCCAAATGCGGCAAATGCGGGGAGCGTTCGGCAGAGGTTATCAACCCAATGAGCTGCGTTCAATGCATTGACACGATTTTTGGCTCCGGCCCTGCATAATAACCAACTGCACATTAACAGTTAACACCCGCGCAATCCCAGCTACACTGTGCCAAAAACTGGGTGCTCTCAGAAAGCCATAGAGGCACAAACTTAAAATAATGAAAATCAGACAGTTTATATGAAGATGTCTTATTTAAAGGTGTGTGATGTTTTGTTAAATTCTGATATGCGATTTTGGCCTGTGTAGGCATTTTGGCATGTGGTCACAGAACCTTTACCAATTAGGCCTGGAGTGGGGTACCGAGTGCAGTGCTTCCGGCTGCCTTCCGGTCATCCTGCCTATCCCAGCACTCGGAAATTCTGCCCGGTATGCTATCATTTGCGGCTTTAGCTGCTGACGCTGCTGCCTTTGCTTTTGTTTATTATATTGTCATTATGCTAATTTTATTTTGCTGTGCGATTGATTGGGAGCCGCGAAAAGAGAGTGAACATATATGTACTAGTCTGCTGGGCAATGGTGGCAAGTGAATAGTGAATGGCAGGCAGATATATCGAGCGATGTTGTCGCCGTGACGTTAATGTCGATGTCATGTACGACTTGGTCCGCCTGCATTTGACATTTTGCACATGGCTTTCCTTGCGATTTCTTTGCTCGCAGTTGTTGTGCCTCTGCGAATGTTTGCCTTTCAATAAAAATTGTTAAATAATCAACATCAGTGGCAGAAAACATCAAACTCCAGTAGCAGCAGCAGTAGCAGTAGCCCCCCGATACGAACATTGAAAGGTTCATTTCATTTGGTTCGAGAAGAAGAAAGCGTATTGCGAATTTTGCTCGCTTTGACTTGATTTGCGTGATGTGCATGCGAAGCAACATCACATCAACATCAGCAGCGACAAGTCGGGGGGCATAGTCGATTATATAATCGCGCAAATGTTATGGTATTTTAAGCACTAAATAAATAACAGGCGTGCTTGCACTTAACCATGCTTTTGAAATGCCTTCCAAAAGTTCAGACCTGGCCGAAATGGAAGGGCGAAAGGCGAATAAAAAAATAAGGAAAAAATCATTAGAAACAAAGCCCGGCCAGAAGGCAATCGTGAGAAGCGCTCCGGGGAGAAAGAATTTGTCGGAGGAGTAGTATCTGATGTTGCACAAACCGAATACCTGACGATCCCCTAGACATCTGCTAAATGAATGGCTTATGAATGCTTCAACGAGTAAGCTGTCAGCGCCACACTTAACAGGCTTGGTTTTCTAAAAATTAATAATTTTTGAAATACTTGATAGTAAAAGAAACCAACTTGAGAACATCAGTAAAGCTCTCACCTCCGTCGCTTTAAAACTAGGCAAAAAGAGAAAATAAGAACCCGTCAAAGGGACCATAGAACTGGGCTCTTGAAATTAAAATTAAAATTTTTCCACCGCCCAAAAGAGGAAAAATAGGCAAAACGTGCCGGGCATAAGTGAAAATTTCAAACCGCAGCATACTAAATGTCGCCATGACCATATTTAAGAAGCCAGGCCAGCAAAAGTCATTTGAAACATTGTTGTTGCTGCCGTTCCTGGAGCGTTTGCTGTTGCTATTGCTATTGGTGTGTCTGATGTTGCCAGTAGTCAATAAACTAAAACCGGTAGCATAAAATGCCGGTTGTGGTCGAAGCCATGAGTTCGAGACTGGCCAGGCCAACTCGCTGGATTTCGATGACTCCGGCATTAGCAAACTCGATGTGTGGAAAAAGGTCAGCGGGCCAAAAGCACCGATTGTTTGGCTGGCTGGGATGGGATGGGTACGTCGATTGGGTTCGGGTTTTGGATTTCGAGTTCCCATTTCGTATGGGATTGCAGTGGAGTGGCTGCAATTTCTGTCTGTGTTTGTTTTTGTGTGTGCCATTACAGTATTGCCACTCAGCTATAAGTTCAATGCACCCGGGTGTAGCATGTTGGCACTGCAACATATTTTATTAAATTGTGGATAATATTAAAAATTATATTTATATGTTTATGATCCTATAGGTCAATGCTGAAAGGGATGTCCTTTGAATCAATTAAGAGAGATAAAGATACTTTCCTCTTCTTAACAAAACAAGTTTTTTTTAACAAAAAATAAACCATTTTGTTCAAGACCCTTACATAATATTGCATATTAATGATCTATTTAATAGGTTAAGTTGGTAGCAAACTTGTTCAAAGACTATAACTTTTGTCGCTGTGTATTTGTGTGGTGCTGCTGCTGCTGATCCAACTGTCAATTAATGGCAAATGTCAGGGGCTGGCTTTGAAGCATTAATCATAATTAGTTATGCCACACGCCGGCAACAACAACTCCGTCCATAGCCATTGATATGTAAACTGTAAACTGTAAACAATTAGAGCTGATTTGAAAAATGTTAACTGGAGTTGAGTGCGAGTTGGGGTTCAGTTCAAGTGGCTGGCTTTCTGTCGAAAGTCTTGCTGGGCAATTAGCCGCATTTAGGGATTGCCATGCCCGTTGCCATGCAACTACGTACCTATATACGTACGTAACTCAAAACGCCAAACGCAAATGAGTTAAAATGGTGCACATAACCGGCTTTTGGGTCTCAGCCAGGGATTTGGATTCGGTGCGATTCACTTGAAAAGAAGACAATGCCCACAAAGGTGATCTGTGCGTCAAGTTCGTGGGCGGAGTTGACGTTTTCTGTTTCGTTTGCTAAGCCCTTTGGGAAGTTATCTAATCCAATTAGGAGCTGTCGCAGCATGAACAGCATTATGTAAGCTGGAGTGGGTGGGGCGGCAAGTGTTTGGGACACATGCTTTGCTGTTTGCCGGCTATTGTTTTCGATTGAGTTTTGAGTAGAAACTGACAAAAATTGTTATAAAATTGCACTGCAATGGACAGCCAAAACAGCAATAGCAACAGCAACAGAAGCTGCAAAAAAAAAAAGCCAAAACTGAAGCAAAAGCAAACATTTTAAACAATTATAAAACTTGTTTCACGCTTGACAAAACTACAAACAGCGAAGTGCAGCCAGCGTTTTGCCATCAAATGCGGCGTAGCTGTCAAGTGCAGTTTTCCCCGTTTCCAGCACGCTTTTCCATCCAGCTCAGTTGCCGCACTAATTTTTCCAAATCCATTTCCCCCAAACAATTGTTTTGTCATCGGAAGCTGATGGACTTATATTTTATTCATATACCATTCCATATCCATCTTGCCGCAGGCCTTTTTTGAAATAAGTGCAATTTAATATTATTAATATATTAATCTGCTTATTGTTAAAAGCATTTTGTAAATACACATCTTGAATATTTAATATCACTCATTCACTGACTTTCATATCAAATATTTTCATTTTTGATATCGGTTCAGACTATTTATTTAGAGTTTATCAGCCATGAGCGACTACAAAATGTCGATGGATTCTGAAGTTTTTGGAAAACTGATGGCTGTAATTGGAGATGAGGTGGGTCTCTCAAAGAAACAAAGAATAAATAATAAATTAAGTTTTTTTAAGGACACCTGTGTGGGCTTCCTGCTTGGTGGTATTGGCGAAGTCAAAGAGGATCGTGAAGCCAATTTTATGGTTGTTGAAAGGGGTAAAAAAATTTTTCCTTGCTTCCAGCTCCATTTTTTATCAACCCTTGTTATCTTTTAGATACTACAGCTGCACAGATTGAAACTTGTTTTAAAAACTTTTTACAACGTCCGGATATAGCCATTATCCTTATAAACCAGATGTACGCAGATATGATTCGACCCACTGTCGACGCTCATGTTCTGCCAGCACCAACTGTAGTGGAAATTCCCTCAAAACAGCAGCCCTACGATGCCTCCAAGGACTCGATCCTGAAGCGAGCCCATGTGAGTTATCCAGAATTCGTGAAACTTTTGCATCTCCTCTTAAGCCTCGAACGCCAGCAGGGCATTTTCAAAATACCAGAGAAGCGCCGCTAGGCGCTGAACTTGTGCAATCAGTTTGGGATCGAAGTGAGAGTTTAATGAAAGATTTGCATAGTTCCAAAAATGCAGCCAAATGTTCCAAATGTAGCCAATGCTACAAAGTACAAAAAACAAACTAACACTTTCCCAGCACTGAGAAAATAAAGCTTATACGTATATGTACGTATATACATATATCGAGAAACTATTCAGCTTTTGCGTTTTAAGGAAATTGCCAAAAAACGGCAGCAGCCACAATTCGAAAAAGAGGGGAACAACAAAAATGCGTTGCTCTTGCAACAAAATTGAAAACATCAACCACACAAAAGCAACAAACACAACATTAGAAAAGAGCGGCAATAGTGGCCGTAACAAAAGTAACAACAAAGTAAACGAAAACGATACAAATAAACGCTGAAATGCCAATACATGGGAGCAAAAATTCAAGGAGCAAAAGGAGCACTACGAAATACAATACGCCGGCAAAATAAAAAATTCAGATAAAAAAAACGCAGAAGAAAAAATTTGAAAAGAACAACAAAAAAGTAACAAAATAAAAACTCTTAAAAAGACAGCACAATTTACGTTGTCTGGATGGATCTTTGGACGGGGCGGAACTGCTGGGGAAAGTCGGGGGAAAAGCGTCTTCTTATGGGCTGCTTAGCGCAACAAAAGCATGCGAAAACAATATTCGAGCAAAGTATTTTGCGCCAACTTTTCGCACCAAGAAGTTAGCGCCGAGAATGCATTCAGAAAGTTCTGCTCCAGTGACAAGTTTGCCAAAAAGGGTTGTTGTAGTTTCAGCCATAGATGTAGATGTATCTGTATCTGCAGCCCTGGTGGTTCGGCGAAAGCTCAGCCTATAAGTAGGCAACACTCCTCAAGACCATCTATTGAAGAAGCCATTTTCCACTGCCAGCAAAGCCGAAAAATATTTTATATTTATACAAAAAGGAAATATATATTGCAAATGTTAATAAATTAGAATACTTGACTATTATTTTCCTAAGATTTAATTTACCTCTTCAACACCTTAAAAAATCTTTCATTAAAATGGTTTGAATAACCCATTGTGGGTTAATGAGCCGTAAATTTTGGTGAACATCATTCTGGCCAAGTGTCAAAACCTTGACGCTTTTCTATACCTGCCGGACATCAAAATGGTTTTGACATCAAAATGGTGTGGCTTATTTTAGACTAATTAGTCCAAGTCTGGCAAGCTGTCAGCTGCCAAGTTCAATCGGGATATGCCCAAACCGAACATTTGGTAGAAACAACCGAACAGATTTTGGTAGAGGATCGGATAACATCTGTTGTTTATCGGGATTCTGTGTCAATATGCAGTAATATATTACTCTTAAATCAAATATAATTCAACCCAGGGATGGATTACAGAATTGAGAAACAAATAAAATAAAAACAAGACAATACCCTTTTTAAGTTTAAAGGCCCAACTTTTGACACACAGCGACAAGTTTTGCGCCTTTTAGCAGTTTAGAGAAGAGAAAGAAAACTAAATAAATAAGCGACTAACTGACTGACTGAAGACAGGAGAAATACGGAGGAACTGCAGCGAAACTTTTCCGCCAGGCAATGGGGAACATAAATAAATGAAATTATTCAAAAGTAGTTTGGAATTCTCGTGACAGCGCATAAAAACAAACAGCTGAATGCAATTTGGCTGATTCTAAGCCATGCGAGAAAGAAAAGTGAAAATAAATGCAGGCAGGCAGACGAGATGACGAGAATGGTCGGAGTCAGAATCAGACAGATTGCGGCAGTGAGACAAAAGCCAGAGCCTCCGCACTCAGCACCAGTCTCAGCTTCAGATTCCGCCAGAGCAAATGAATTGCATAGAGCCAAAAACGCATAGACTTCGTCCAATGGAGACTGGCATAATTATAATTGGAACTGGGATCCGACCATAGAGAACCAAGAGCTGAGCTGGGACATCTGAAATCTGATGGAAGGCGAAAGATGGAGTAATCAGTCTCTGGCCTCAGTGCGGAGGCTGATGCAACATTTTTGGCAATTCAATTTCGGAAATGAAATCGAGACACATGGGCAAGGCTCCAATGGACCAGCTGTTTGTCAAATTGAGCAAAAGATGCCGGGTCAGAATTAACAAATGGAATTGTTCCTGGCCAAATTAACAGACATCTGAGGGCTTTCGGCAAACGCACTGTCTTTGGCCGGCAATCGTAAAATTATTGCGTTTGCAAACTGGATGGTTCAATCAGGGTCCCCTGGACACACACGTACAGGTCACATACATATAGTTGACGAGCCCCGAGAGCCACACCCTCTTGGATTGCTCTTGACATCGTCAGTGGCTGCGACGTGCTCGAAAACAAAGTTAATTAAATGATCTGATCTCCATTATTCCCTAAGAGCTAATCTCAATTACAAAATTGAAATGAGCAGGACACTTTCGAAAGCCAAGGGTGGGATTTGAATATTATGTTTATAAATTTATGTTTAACTTACTTTATATTTTTGATGTTTAATATAAATTTTTTTTTTTAATTTGAAAGAATAGCCATTAAAGGAATAAATAGTTTATGATTTTCTGCCGAATGTCTTCTTTATTCTATTTAATATACCTTCTTTCAACTTAATATTTCCTTCGGTGTATGCGTTGGCCAAAGAGCCACAGACCCACATGGACACAAATCGATGAAACTTGGTCAAAATGTAACTCGAATGTCAAAGAAAACAAGGAAAGTGAAGCTCACAAACGAATGGAGCAGATTAAAGTGCAGCAGCTCTGGCCGGAGATTAGCTGCAGGGAATCGGTCACTATATAGTCCTGGCAGGATTAGTTAGTTTCGACCATAGTTTGACCCTCCTTCTTGCCGCAGTGAAATGCAATCGACACGGCACAAAGCGTTTCATTAACCATTGCAAATTGGCAGCAATTCATTGAAAGGCATTCAAATCGTGTGCTTCGGTATGTCAATATGTGGATGTGCGTTCTCAATTTGCTTGTGGCACGTAGCGTATGGATAATATGTATATATGTAGGGGCGGGTAGTCGAACTCAATTCTCCGAATCACTGAGCTAAACAAAATCATTGAAATTGCTATTGTCTGGGCCACTGAGTGGATAAGCACACTCTGATATATGGCGAATATAGTATGCGAAACTTGTAGCATATGGCCGCTGGTCACTTGCCGTGCCCGTCTTTCAGCAGCCCGTCTCGACCATTGTCCAGCCGCCCAGATTGGATTACTTGATTTGCCAGCCAAGTGTCTAATTTATTACTTTGCATTTAAATTAACTCCCATTTTCATCGAGGCAAACATCGATGGCAGTTTCGCAATCTTAAGTCTAGAAATTATTTGCACTTTACAAAAAAACGAAGTAGAAGGTTACAAAAACTAAAAAAAGGATATACAAATAGTTTTATTTTGATTTTTTAAAGCTAAGCATAAATAGCATTTCCTTAAACAATTTTAAACCTTCTGGGGTAACCGGAATCCATGTAAGACTCAATCCCAGAAAGTTTACGTTGTGTTCCAAGTGTAAACTCTCCTGATTGGAGGCGTGGCGACTGCATGTTCCGGGGCGGCTATCACTTTGGCTAATTTGTATTCAAAACACAGAAAGCAGTGTCAGTGTTTCAATTGATTGAATGAGTCTGGTCTGACCTCTCCCCGGTCGGAGGCCCCGGATGGTCTGAAGACAGACACAGATGCTCGGAGATTACCCACCGGAGCAGAGTTCACCTGGTTCGCTTGGACTCGGACTAATTGGAAGTGACAAATGGAAGCTCGCCTCTGCGCCCCGTTGTTTGTATTGGCGTCATTTCGGGCATAAAATTTGTTTCCGTAGACTGCGAGTTCTGGCTTTAAAGCACAAGTGCATAAGTGTACGGAACTCTCCGGGAATTCGCTATTAATTTGCCATTGTGTTGCCAACGGAAACTGCACTCGAGCACTGCACTAATTTGGCGAGCGGTTCCAACTCCAGAGTTGCCGTTTCTAACTGGGAAAACTATTCTTTTGTTATCGTCAGCATTAAATAAACTATGGAACCCTCTGAAAATAAACCACAGCACATTTTTGGATCCACTTCATATGCATAACAAATGAATAACTTTCGTATTATCGCAAAAGCAGGTCTGCAATAACAAACCAACAAAGCGCACAAAAAACAGTAAACACAGATAAACAATTGAAATGCGATAAAAAAAAAAATAAGAATAATAATGGCAAATGAATACAAGCGTGTATGGTGCACAAAGGATAAAAGACGCAAAAGTATGGTTTATTCAAATAACAATTGCCAAATACTTATTTAACAAAAATAAAAGGCATCAGCGCAACTTTCTGGCTTTGGGCTTTGTCGGTGGCGGCGGCCGCGGCCGCAAAATGTGCAAAAATTTGTATAAAAATGCCAGAGCAAAGTGTGCCACACACACACACACATTCTGGAACAGGACCCACCCACCCACACTCCCGCAAGTGCAACAATAAAATACCAGCGAGCCGCTGACTTGTGGGTGGTTATTCTTTTTTTTTGGGTAGTGCTCCTGCTCACCATCATTTTGGGGTAATGCAAAATTACGTTATAACGGCATAAATTTAAATAAATGCCGGTCTCAGGATTTTTATGCATTTTTACCGCATAACAAATACTTTTGTTGCCCCCACGCCACCAGCATTCTGCCCTAATGTGGCCACACCACCCCCGCGTACACTTACCAGCTCACATGCATGAACATGGGGTTAAAATAATAACAGAAAGGGTATTGAGGATCTAATGTAATCTCATGTTAAAATATATGTAAAATATTTGTAACATTGTGAGTCAATATATATTAATTTATTTTTTCAAATGGATAGTCCTTTATTAAAATAGAGCCCCCAACATATCAAGATATATTTTAGCGACCCAGTCTGTGTTTTCTAACAATTTGTAGGCGGCTGAAATTGCGGCTGCTGCAGTCAGCTAGTGAAATTTCCTTCCGTTTTCGCCAGGACGCGAAATGCTTTCATTGGCATGCCAGCAACTCTCTTTGTGAATGTCTGTGAATGTGTGTGTAATCTTAGCGGTGTAGGTGTGGGTGTGCGTGTAAGTATGCGAG